AACATTCCACAGAGAAAATTGTCTGTGTCATGATTAGAACAGGAAGTTACATAATTTGTCATGGTGACATCTCAAACATTAAGTTGCATCACTATCATGTAATACAATGAAGACTGCTCCTTTGCAGTTTGTGCTCCATTTCTTCAAAGTTGCATTTAGAGGTAAGAGACTGAATCAGCATTTGGGATGATAGAACTGTAGTGGATTCCCAATGTTTGGCATTCAGAGTTTTTCAAAAGTGTTAACATGTAAGATAAGATGTTTTATGGATCCACATATATATACTCTGGGAGAATGCCCAAGAGAAGAAGTAGCTTGAGCCCTGTTAGCAAAAATACCAATTGCAGTACTATTTCTAAAAGTAATGTAATGGGGTGCAGCTCCTAAATAAATGCAGAAGAACTGGCATCTCCAAGTCTGAGGCTCTTGAAAATATACTGGCCAATCAAACTGGAACAAAATACCAGCAGAACAATTCTGGCTCATCTCCCAGTGCGAGGAGCATTTGGATACTCTTCAAATATTAGTAACAGTTTTGCTCCAATCAGTGGGTGATAAACTAGCCTGTAGTCAATCTCCCATTGTTGAACATAACTTGGAGAATTGGAAACATTGTACTCTGAGATATTCACTTAGCACAGAAAGGAGTTTGAGCCCCTGGTTGTAATGCAGAACACCAATTAAAAGTAAAAAAAAAAAAACCTTTTAAAATATCCTACAGTTGTTAAACTCATGCACGACATGCGCATCATCGCCATGTGGGCAGGTGGAATAAAAAAACCCCATCAACCTAACTCAATAAAACACATACAACAGGCATTGAATGACTTTGTGAGAGGCAAAAAACTGTTAACTGTATTTTTCAAAGTGTTCAAATCTTTTTCCTCCAACACTATCTCAAAAAGTCTGCTTTAGTTCAGCTCTTTCTAAGAGCGTTATCAAAATCAGCATTCTTTTCAGTCAGGTCGTGAGATCGGTATTTTTCAAAGTGATCAAATCATTTTGCTCCACGTCTAATTCACAAATCCTGCATAAGTTCAGTTCTTTCTGAGAGTGTTATCAAAATCAGCATCCTTTTCAGTCAGGTTGTGAGATCTGTATTTTTCAAAGTGTTTTTTTAATTTTATTTTTTACCATGAATTTGAAAAGCTGGTTAAAGCAGGAAACTCTTCAAAGAAAAATTACTATTACTTCTGTTCAGCACTTATAGAAACTGAGAAAGAAGATGCAACAAAAAAATCCAGAAATCATGCCTGAAATAGTTGTATCTACTGTTCCTCAAATAGTAGAGACAAGTGACAAGTCCAAAAAAAAAGAAAAGCACACAATGAAATCTCCAGCCAATATTCTTCTCAAACAAAGAAAAGAAAATATGATGATAGCTACTTGTCATTTGGATTCACAAGTGCCAAAAATGAAGATTGTCCTGAAGCACAATGCGTACTTTGCTATAAAATATCGCCAAACAGTTCATTAGCACTAGTGATGTACCGAACGGTTCGCCGGCGAACGGTTCCCGGCGAACATAGCATGTTCGCGTTCGCCACGGCGGGCGAACATATGCGCGGTTCGACCCGCCCCCTATTCGTCATCATTGAGTAAACTTTGACCCTGCACCTCACAGTCAGCAGACACATTCCAGCCAATTAGCAGCACACCCTCCCTAGCAGACCCTCCCACCTCCTGGAAGGCATCCATTTTAGATTCATTCTCAAGCTGCATGCTTAGTAAGAGGAGGGAAAGTGTTGCTGCTGTTCATAAGATAGGGAAAAGCATAGCTAGGTTAGGGATAAGGGTTTGCTTTTTTTTTATTTATTTTTTCTATGTAATGTAATTGCATAGTTGTCTGCCACTGCTGCCAGCTTCTGTGTCAGGCTCACAGTGCATACTGTGCCCATTTCCCCAGTCAGTGCCACCACTTACATCTGGTGTCACAATAGCTTGGATTTAAAAACAAAAAACTTTTTCACTGTTATAGATTGAATAGCAGTCAGTTGTCTGCCACTGCTGCCAGCTTCTGTGTCAGGCTCACAGTGCATACTGTGCCCATTTCCCCAGTCAGTGCCACCACTTAGATCTGGTGACACAAAGCTTGGATTTAAAAACAAAAAACTTTTTCACTGTTATAGATTGAATAGCAGTCAGTTGTCTGCCACTGCTGCCAACTTCTGTGTCAGGCTCACAGTGCATACTGTGCCCATTTCCCCAGTCAGTGCCACCACTTAGATCTGGTGACACAAAGCTTGGATTTAAAAAAACAAAACACTTTTTCACTGTTATATATTGAATAGCAGTCAGTGTCCTTAAAGCGGGTGTGTTACGCTAACAGTGGATACGGTGACCAGTGCCACCACTTAGATCTGGTGACACAAAGCTTGGATTTAAAAAAACAAAAAACACTGTTTTCACTGTTATAGATTGAATAGCAGTCAGTGTCCTTAAAGCGGGTGTGTTACGCTAACAGTGGATACGGTGACCAGTGCCACCACTTATATCTAGTGACACAAAGCTTGGATTTAAAAACAAAACACTTTTTTCACTGTTATAGATTGAATAGCAGTCAGTGTCCTTAAAGCGGGTGTGTTACGCTAACAGTGGATACGGTGACCAGTGCCACCAATTAGATCTGGTGTCACAATAGCTTGGATTTAAAAAAAAACCACTTTTTTTCACTGTTATAGATTGAATAGCAGTCAGTGTCCTTAAAGCGGGTGTGTTACGCTAACAGTGGATACGCTGACCAGTGCCACTAATTAGATCTGGTGTCACAATAGCTGGGATTTAAAAAAAAAAAACTTTTTTTTCACTGTTATAG